TACTCGGCCTCTGAACTAAGTTAGGCTTATGATCCCAACCTTTTCCTCTTGATTTCCAATTCTCTTGAGACCTGTGATTTCCAGAAAATCCACCACTTCTAGCACCCTTAGTCACAACAGTTAAACTTGCAAATGATTTCTCAGTAGAAGACTCAGCATGTAAATCAAGCCGCTGCTCAAATCCTTTTAGAAAAGCCACAACCTCTTGAACCTCAATAGTCTCAAGATCTCTAGAGTGCTCAATTACAGAACAGATAGCATCATATGTTTTAGGAAGGCTAATCAATAATTTCTGCACTATTCTCTCCCTAGATAATTCTTCTTCATAGCTTTTCATTTGATTAATGATATCAAACAATCGAGAGAGATATATATATAATGATTCACTATCCTTCATACGAGTATATTCAAAATCTCTACGTAACCCTTGTAATTTGACATTTCTTACTTGTTTATAACCTCGAAATTCACCTTTTAGAGCATCCCAAGCTCCTTTGGATGTCTCCTCATTCACGATTCTGGGAAAAATCTGGTCCGAGACTGCGCCTTGAATCATCCCAAGCGCACGAGCATCCTTCATCAGAATCTCGCTAAACGACATTTCACCTGACGTCTCCTTCTTCGTCTAGTCAACCGTAGCTTCTTTAGACTTTGGATCTGAAGATTCAAACCCATTTTCAACCAGCTCCATAAACCATGAGATTTCAGAATGGTTTTCATTCGAATACTCCAGAACTCATAATTCTCTCCATTAAAAACTGGAGCTCTAAGCTCAACACTGCCGGATCCAGCCATAGTAGACTTGGACTTAAGCAATCGTAAATTTCCAGATTCGATTTGAGCTCAAGTATGTAGCTCAATCGAACCTCACGAACTCATAGATTTCACGCCCAGATTAGACGATGAAACCTGGCTCTGAGGCCATGTTAGTGTTTGTGATTGGTGATATGAGCTTCAATGGAGATTCTGTGCAAAGAAAGACAGAGAGAGTTCACGAAGAAGATGAAAGGAATTATACTTCTCACATTTCACACACTGAACACACATACACTTTGTTACCGTTGCACATGGAAGGAGGGGAGATCCTTCACACTCCAATACACAACATAATCTCAACCATTCATTGGTATCATCCTATGAGATAATGCCACATGGCTAATTCTATTACTTAAAACTAGATACAACATTAAGAAACCATGTGGACTATGATCCAATGGCTGACATTCAAACTAAAACAGAAATACATTTGTGAAATGATGTCAGCCATCAATTTCCAGCTGAAGGGTTACATTCCAACAATCCCGGCTTCGCTCAAGATGATGCCGAGGTGTCTGTACAGATGGATGGTAGAGCCGATGAGGGACTCAACTTGTTACTCTTCAAAGACATCGCTGTGGACGTAGGTGCACCAGTTGGACTCTTTCAAACATGTTGAACTTTTTTGGAGTGCTTATGATTACTTTCAGTTTTTGTTAGTTTTTAGTTTTCAAAAAAAAAAAAAAAAAAAAAAGTAAAAACAAAAAACGAAATAATTATCAAACGTCAATGAATGAAGTCATAATGCCTCTAATCACAACATTTTTCTTATGCACAGCAAAATATGAAACATCAATTGAACAAATACTTCTACGTAGGTAATTTGTTGTCGCAGCGAACATAACGTGCGTATTTCACGCGTTCATAATTCAGGTGACCATGTTGAACTCTTTCACACTTCACTTCACGAACCTTTAGCAAGGTTAGAATTATGCCTCGTAGGAATTTGCATACCTATTGGACGAAACGGATGATGTACTATTTAAACACATGACCACATTAGCAAGGTTAGAATCCGATGATAAAGAAAAAAAAAAAAAAGCCTGAGGAAAGAACAAACAATCATGGAGATGTTGAGAAGCATGCTCAAGCGTGCCGTTTTGTATCCACAAAAAAAAATAAAAAATATTTTGCAAAACGTTAACAAGCAGATCTTTAGGCCATCTCCAACCAAAGGGTCCAGAGGACTACAGGGCGGAAAATAGCCCGAAAACCGTCTCCAACCGAGGGCTAGGCCCCACGGAATCGGGAGAGGGCTAGAGAGCTGGCCAAAAAATTCAGTTTCCTGTCGGTTATAACCGACAAGAATGCTTAAGAAAAAAATTCAAATGCAACAGCTAGCTAACGTTAACTAACCATTGCATTTGAATTTTTTTTTTTTATAGTTTTATTATTATTTTTTATTTACAAAATTTTTCCTATAACTTCTATTTTTAATTTTTTTTTTAAATTCTATTTTTTCCTATAATTTTTATTTTACAAAATTTGTTTCATTTTTTTTTAAATTCTATTTTTTCCTATAACTTCTATTTCACATAGTTGCTTTATTTTATTTTAAATTCTATTTTTATCCTATAACTTCTATTTCACAAAATTTGTTTCATATTTTTTTTAATTATATTTTTTTCCTATAACTTCCTAAGCCATTATACAATATTAAATTAAATTAAATAACATGAAACAACATTAAACAATATGAAATAACATTAAATAACATTAACCATCATACAAAGTATACAACATAAAAAAAAACATTTAACAACATAAAACTTAAACAACATTTTAAAAAACATTTAACAACGTAAAACTTAAACGCATATTCCATGCTGACGTCACTTAGCCGTTGAACTTGAATTTAAGTTGTAGTTTTTAAATAATAAATTATGTTTGGCCCTATGGCCCTCTGACCCTCGGTTGGAGACGATTTTTTGTGGCAAGGCTAAAACGAGCTCTCTGGCCCTTGGTTGGAGATGGAGGCAAATATGGCCATGTACTGTTCATTAAAATATTAATATCTTGGAGAATCTTGGAGGGCCAGAGGACTAAAACGAGCCCTCTGGCCAACCCTCGATTGGAGATGGCCTTACAGTCTTACTATTTTCAATTTTCAAAAAAATATCCGTCATGCACCCTTTCCAATATATATACATGAGTGCTCGGTGCTCCTAGTTAACGGAAGAGGATCCTCTCCGGAGCCGGTTCCACCGGATCCTCCTCCTTCCTCTTCTTTCTTTGCAGGTTTTTGACCTCCGAAGTCGGCGTAGCGGCGTAGTGGCCTCATCGGAGCTAGTTATCGAAAAACTTCAAAACCACATAGTCGACGACGACTACTACGACTTTGCAGATAACTAGCTCCGGGGAGCCCACGACACCAACTCTAAGGGCCGAAAAAGTGCAAAGAAAGAAGAGGAAGGAGGAGGATCCCGAGCCTCTGATGGAACCGGCGGCTTCGGAGAGGATCCTCTCCCTTGGTTAACAAATGCACTAGATATGATTATAAATATAAACTGATAATTTATGCATTGATATTGTTAACTCATTGTAAAATTAAACTTATCAATTTTCTTTTAAGTAAGATAATATTATTTGTTAAATTTGTTAAAAAAAAACTTATCTCATTTGAGCCTGGTGTGTCACTTTCGATTGAGATTGTTTTGTTGGTTTGCTACAACAAACACTACTAATAGAAAACCAACAAAAAAACAAATCTGACAAAATCTTTGCAATTCATTTCATACCTACTTTTTGAGATTCGTCATTATTGCAAGGATAAGATTTTTATGTCCTTTTGAGGAATGAGCTCATTCATTCTTTATAAATAATGATTCTTGAATGTACAAATAACAAAACTACAGTTTATTAATGAGTAGGGTTAGAAAAATAGAATTTATAAATAAAATTTTAAAAATTAAAAAATTAAAAAAATATAAAAATTAATAATTGATTTATTATTTTAACTTGTTTATTTTTATTGGTAATACATAATTTAATTTATAAATTTTATCTTTAAATTTAATCTCTTTAATATTACTCTTTATTAATCTTCATTTGAAAATTAGTCCTACAACCACCACTTGAATCTATGGTCATTTATTCAAAATGTATTAAACAAACCAGCAGTGTAAATACCAAATGATAAACAATCAAATTTATTTGATAAGTTTAGACGATTAAATACCTTCCAATTCAAATGATTTATTTTTATAAAAGTGATTTTGAAATAAAGATTAAGAAATTAAACTATTCTATTCATTGAATTTATACGATCGAAATGCCTTCATAAAAATGAAGGGTTATCTGCAGTACCTACATGAAAATATGGGTGTTGTTTGCCATCGTTAGCATTAACTAGACTAAACTGGACTAATAGTTCGTGTAGTTCTATGTTTGTGGACTAAACTGGACTAATAGTTCGTGTAGTTCTATGTTTGTGGACTAAACTGGACTAATAGTTCGTGTAGTTCTATGTTTGGTGTAGCAAGAGATTAACTTAAATGACGCCAGATGAGGCTCGCCTTGACTCGAGGCTTTGCTAAGTGTCAGTAGTTAACCCCGACCAAAAGCTTGGTATTAGGTAGGACTATGTCACTGCCTCTTGTCTTTCTAGACCCCCTGACCCACCACCGCAAGCTAGCATCACTCACCCAGAAGTCGATTACGACCCAAACCTCCTAAAATCTTAGAATCAGAACCACCTAGATGGGAAAACTCGCCATGGCCGCTGACAGAATTGGGGGAGAGAGAGAGAGAGAGATTGATCGAATGGATTTAGACGGGAAAACAAAGGAAAGAGAGATTGTCGGACGGGAAAACTTGCCATGGCAGCTAACGGAAATGGAAGGAGTCATTGAGGTTTTTGGTGAGATTTGGAAATTGGGGAAAAAAATTAGGAATTGAGAATTGAAAGGGAGGCATGTCTCCATTTTGTGATGATCAACCTGTGCACTTTAACTAACTTGGGGGAAGACAAATGGAGAACTGGGGGGGAGGGGATAGAGAGTTCTAGAAATAAAAAGAAAAAGAAAAATGGAAAAAGAAAAACAGGAGAAAAGTGATGGGGGAGGTAGAGAGTTCTAGAAAATACGATTTGAGGATTTTAAGATCACCCCAAAGAGGATCCTCATTCGGAATTTACAAACGAAACAGGTGCCAACCATCAACAAGTACCAACATCAACAACCAAATTTATGCAAAATTCTACCTTTTTCTTTTATCTTTATTTTGTTGTTGAAAGAAATATATTTCATAGGGGATTGACGCCACCGTCAACAACCAAATTATGTCCGGTCACAAACTCAGCCTCCTCAGAAGCCAAAAACACCACCGCATCCGCCACGTGCTTCTCCGTCAGCATTCCATTACCGCTCCTAGCATACATTGGCGCTATCATCTTCCCCAGATCCTCCATCCCAACCTTCAACATATCACACAGAAGCGGTGTCAGAACCGACCCAGGTGACACACAATTCACACGCACTCCACGCGCCGCCAGCTGCTTACTTGCGGACCTCACAAGCCCCAGCACTGCGTGCTTCGACATTGTGTAGTCCGTCGCAAACTCTGTCCCACTCTCCGCCGCCAAACTAGCCGTGCACACAATACTCCCCCTCACCTGCCCCTCGATCTGTTAGTAATAAATGAAATTTATTAGGTTTATATTATCAACACTCCAAAATATATGCTAAACACCATAAAAATAAGCAGCACCATCACTCTCGCCGCGTGCTTGACACACGCCGCCATCCCCCGCGAGTTCACAGCCATGACCCTATCGTATAGTTTCAGGTCAAGGTCCAGCACGGTCTGGTGGGACCCACTGACAATCCCCGCGTTGCTGAACATGATGTCGAGGCGTCCGTACAGATGGACAGTGGAGTCGACGAGGGACCTAACTTGTTCCTCATCGGTGACGTCGCAGTGGATGTAGGTGCATCGGTTGGTACCGATGGACGAGGCGAGTTCTTGCCCCTTGTTGTCTTGCACGTCTGCGATGACGACAGCAAGCGCGCCGTGTTCGGCGAAGTGGCGCGCTGTGACTGCACCGATGCCGGAAGCGGCGCCGGTGACGATGGCCACCTTGCCATTGAGCTTCTTGAGTGTTGTGGTCTCTGCCATTTTGTACAGTATGCTCTTTTGGCATGGGATATAAGGGCTTTTGATTTAAAATTACATTTATTAGAAACGTCTTGAAATAATGGATGACATGGGCCATGGCTCCATGAGTTTGTGACTTTGTAATTGAAGTGGGGTCGCTGCTTGATTCTTTCGGATTTCATTTCATCATTAAAGATATCAAGCCAAGAGCCACGTTTTTAGGGAGACCAACTTTGTAACGGATGTGATTACGGATCTGAATTTTAATAGTAATTTTCATGTTTGAGATAGATCTATTCTTAGTGTTGCTAGTCAAGCTCTTCTATGCCATTAGGTTGTACTTTCCGGCATTTTCTTTAATTCTATAGTCCTTTTCATAGAAAAAAAATTAAAAAAGAAGTAATTGAAGTTGTTTGTGCGTGAAGCATCTAATTTTTGGAACTTAAAAATATTTTTTGTAGAAAACACTTTCATTTATTTTGAAAGAACTTACAAACGAGACATAATTATTTAATTTACTAATGTATCGATAGTCTAATAAAAGGACACCCCATATTGACCCGACCCAAATTTTAGCGGGCAAGATGACATACGGGGTCACCTGTCCCCAGGCCGGGAAACCAACGTCCGTAACGGTCACACTAGCGAAAACAGGTCACCCCTTCAGAATACGAAATTTCAGAAAGTTGGACGTTCGCGTTTCCTATCAGATCTTCGCAGCTGAACGCGGCACTCAAATTTAATTTGCTACTCTCCCGCATTCAAATCTTCATCAGGTACCTCTAATCTTCCTCTTTCACTTCATTCACTCTCTCAATCCACTAATCCATCACTGCCATTTACTAATCCAACGTTCTCAGAGAAATGCGATCGTATTCTGTCGCCATTGTTGATTTCAATCAAGAAGTTTGTTAAAAAGCACTTTAATTTGATTTTTTTACGGATTTATTATTTATTTGTTTGTTTTTTTTTTTTCATTATTTTTGGGGTTTATGGTTTGAATTGTTTGAATATGGGAGTGATTGATTTTCAATGTATTAGGAAACTGAGTGGAAATGCAGCGTGCTCCGGCGACGGTCGAGGAACAGTTGTTACTGAAAGCAATCAAAGAAGAATGCCGTGGGAAAGTCTCCCGAAACGGCTTCAAGTGACATTGTCTTCCAAAGAAGAATGGCACAGAAGGTTACAGTAGCTAATGCTTTTGCCATTAGTAGCGTGGTTTCCTACTTGGTTTTTGGTATTGGCTTAAGTTTGCTAACTGTGTGCAGGGTAATTGAGCATTGCGTCAAGAAAAGACTTCCATGGAACACTTGCTTTGCTCGGAAAGTGTGCAAAGAAGGTGAATATTATGAAGACATGATGCGGTACTTGCGAAGGAATTTAGCAGTGCGTTTCTTACTTTTGAATTTGGGTGGAAGTCCATTCGTTGAGTTAGTCTGAACTGCATTGCATTAATAGTTTTCATGCTACGAAAACCTATTTCTTCCGGATAATGAAAGAACCAAGCCATCGAAGCATTATAGTTATTTTTTCTTTTTTATTTGCATGCAGTATTATGTCATCTAATGCTTGAATCATAGATTTCTGCAGTTAACGTGTTTATTTTATTACTTGCAGCTATTTCCCTATCACCTTGCGGAATACATTTGCCGCGTAATGAGGGTCTCCCCATTCAGATATTACTGCGATATGATTTTTGAAGTTATGAGAAATGGTATGGTATTAGCTTCTTTACCAAATCCTTTCTTATTATGCTGAATTTTCCTGCTATTTTACTGTGATTTGTATGACAGTTTCTCCTAGAAAGTAGGCATCTTATCCATTTTTCATTTTTGCAACACTTTTAATTGTTAGAATAATTTTCTGATTGAAGGTATAGTTTGTGGACCTCGTCTGCTAGAGCAATGATGCATATAAACTGTGTTGGAACCACAAATTGTTGTCTAATTTGGATTTCAAAGATTTTGCATCCTGCTTATGCAGTATCAATTTAAATTATTGAGACCTGAGATTCAAACTTAACACAAGTCATAGGTACATTATGCTAATGATGTTTTTTAACTTCTATGCAAGAAACCTGTTGTAAGGGCGTGAATTTGGCTACAAGATGCGACTTAAATGGGGGATGAGCTTATTAGTTTAAAAGTGTCTGTATATGTATTTATAAAGGTATACGAAAGGGATAGTGTAACTTTAGCAACTGGGATTTGAACGTGTCGGATATATCCAGGAAATATCTGGTGGGGTAGCGTATCTGACATGCCAGATCTAAAATTTTTGGAGTATCCATACTTCACAGGGATTAGATTACGGATGTTTTTGTTTTTTGGAAAGGATTGAATGCACTAGAGATCTAGAAAAAGCATTGAGTTGAAAGAGCTAATTCGTCTTGCAGGCTACGGCTTAGTTTGCGAGTAAGACACGTAACAAAACATTACAGTATTTTCTCATTAGATATACAAAATTTAACTGAGAATATGCCTTTCATTACATCGCATTGCAAAAAGAAAAGACGAAAATAAAAGAGAATTTGGTGCTCATACAGCTTGATCAAGTTGAACACGTGTGTGCTAAGAGTGTGTTTTGTGAAATGTTTATTCACCGAGATACTTATCAGCTTATGCATATTCTCATGCATATCACATTTTTTGCAGAACAACCTTATGACAGCATCCCCAATTTTAGTGCAGCAGATGCCTTGCGCCTTACAGGGATAGGGAGGAATGAATTTATTGATATAATGAACAAGTGCAGATCTAAGGTGTTAATCAATCTGCTCGTTTTCTTTATGGTCCGCATTATGGTGCATGCATACCTTGGTATCTGGATCGGATACAGACATTGCATGGCACCCAGACATGTATGAAAGTATCTCAATTTATGAATTCTTTGGCATAGTTTAGAGCAACTACTCCTGGTCTTAGAAACTAAATTTTCTGTCCGGCATTCTCTACTTGAAGATATCCTAGGGAAAAAAAATTTCTGGCATCTCCTTCCTGTTCATTGCTTGCAATTTCTACATCTAAATTATATGAATTTTCATAGTTCTCAGATGAAGGTCTGTACTCTGCATCACAATATTAAATGATTTTGGTCATGCATAATGAGCTGTGGATCCACTGTCATTTGCCTTATAATTTTATTCCTATAAATGCTAGACATACTATTTGGATTCTTCTATGTAATTTTATGATGGGAATGCATATTTTTATCTTTAGGCATTATATAGAGTTACTATAACAAAATGGAACTTCATGAGTTCGGGCTGTTTCGATGCTGCGGGTGTGTGGCATTGTCTTACCTGTTGTTTACTTTATTTTGAGCTATCTAGAAAATCATGTGGAAGCTGAACAAGTCAATTGCAAGAGAACTTTTACCTACACAACCTGTGGATTTTACAATTGAACCGTGGTGGGGAATTTGTCTTGTGAATTTCACGCTGGAGGAATTTAAGGTGAGAACTGAGACTGAAATCACTTTGAACTCTGAACAGTGTTAGCCTACTGAATTGCTTAGGTGTTTTGGGAAATTTGTGAACAGGCAAATATCATCAGGTACGTGCTTTTTGGATGACCTTACAGTAATTTTCTGTATTTGTAGAAACTCTCGGAGGAGGAAATGGCAACAATAGATAAAATATGTAAAGAGGAAGCAAATTTATATATTTTATTCGATTCTGATATTGTTAAAGGTCTTCACCAACGAGGATTAGTATACTTTGATGTCCCTGTATATCCTGATGACCGTTTTAAAGGTAACTTGTATGGATGAACAATTGGCATGCAGAGTCTAGCCTTTCTGATTTTATCTTTGTTTACCGCCTCATTGGATTATACGCCCGAATATTTACATGGTTTTACCTTCCAAAAACCAACACAGATGGTTTATGGTCATTGACTCATTGATCAACTTTCATCTTTTAAAATTTGGTGTTGGCATTTGTATTCTTCATTTTTTAGTCCTCTACAGTCTATATATTAATAGTTAGCCAGTATGAAGTTTCAACATATAATCCTGTACTTCCTTTTTTAACTTTTGAAGTATCTGGTGAGCCCAAACTTTTGACCAACCTTACTTCCACCTCACTCCTTACCATCTGAGCCAAAACCTAGGGTACACGTGCCTTCTTTCTTACTTCATTTACTCTAAATAAAACCGTGAATGGACATCCATGCCAAGCTCCCACCAACCCCACTAAGTATGAAACTGAACTTCTAATGTATTGCGCTAAGGAGTCGAAATTCTATATGGTGGTGGAATATTGTGATGAAATATTAATAAATGTTCTGGTTCAGTTTCCAGGCTTGAAGGATTTGTTTCAAACAGGGAGCAATCTTATGAAGATCCTATTGAGGAGTAAGGCAGTTTTATTACAAAAATGCCTTGATTGTCAATTTGTCATTTGAATTCTGTTGACTGGCAGTGGAACCAGGATCATAATACTCTACGCTCTGTCGTTCAGGTTACTATATGCAGTTTTTGTCGTTTCAAGCGAGAATGCAACTGTTGCTGAACTGGCAACAACATTACAGGCTGACCTTACACAGCTGCAGGCTGCTGCATCCTTTGCATGTCGATTGGGATGGGCGGTAAAAGTATTTGATCCAGCATCTGTGCTTCGAGATACAAGTTTACCTGGATCTCCTAGAAACAGTCTCCATGAAGAAGATACTTCTCGTTGTAGTACAAGCTCAGCAAATATGTTTGCCAATGGTGAAGCTAGTCTACAAGGAGATGTCTCAGGGACAGGAAACTCTTTGCATGATCGTGTTGCATTTGTTGTTGATGCTAACATAACATCCTACCTTATGATGGGGTCTGTCTCACCGGGTTTGTTTCTTCTTCTCAAGATCGAATTAGTTTATTATATTGAATATCATCAACTTATCTGCAATCTGATGTGGTTGAAATAGATAAGGAGGGTTGTCTATTAAGCAATTGTGCTTGAAACCTTACGTTAAGATAGATCAGTTTAAGTGTCTAGAAGAGGTACCGGCATATTCTTTACAGCTGCTGCACCAGTTCATTAGGAGCTCTTAGCACCTATAGTGTGTCGTACAATTTTTGTTTTATGTGCTGGTTTCTCTCAAGGTGGCACTACAGTTTTCATGAACTCAATTTTTTTTAT